GGATTGGAGGCAGCAGCAGTGGCCATGGTGAGGCAAGTAGAGACACAGCATACCAAGTCTTATCCTGCAGGAAATGGGGAGACCAGTAAAAGGCTTAGGCAAGAGAGTCAGAGATCAGACACGTGCTTCCAAGAGATCACTTTGGCACTGGAGTAGCAAATCTGTTCGGAATGTTTTCAGGAACGTCCCTGCCTCCATATCCAAACGGCAGCAGGAAACACTTTGCTGCCCTTCCAACGCCTTCTCAAGGTGCTCTCAAGGGGCAGCTGATGTGGCTCATGGAGTCACTCCCTTGAGCTTCTATGTTTGAATAGGGATCAAAGCCTTAGCTAAATGCATGAAGCTCTAATAGGGAAATCCACGGGGATTTTGTTGTAGGAGAAGAGAGGATTAGAGCTATCTCAGTTCTCTTGAAATCATACCACATAGTCATTTTTTCCACCAAAGCATAAGGTTCTATTTACAAGTTTCTCTTGGGCCAAGTTTCCTGCCTAAATTGTTCAGATGGACCACCAGAAGTAAACCAATTTTACTTTAACCAAATGAAAAAGTTAAGATCACTAGTACTAAGACATATTGATAACATGCAATCCTTGATACGACGCACTGAGGACACATCATTTCTATGATTTTCTTGCCAAAAATGCATAACCTCATTCTAATCATGAAAAAGTATCAGACAAACCCAAACTGAGTAGCAGTCTACAAAATCATTCAGTACGCCTCAAAAGTATCAAGGTCACAAAAGACAAAGAAAGACTGAGGAGTTGTCACTGACAGAGAAAGTGAAGGAGAAATAACCATTAAATGGAATGTGGGATCCTGGATTGGATCCTGGGACAGAAAAAGGACATTAGTGGAAAAACTAGTGAAATCCAAATAGATTCTACGGTTTTAATAGTATTGTACCAGTGCTGTTCTCCTAGTTTTAATAATTATGCTATGGTTATGTAAGATGTTAACCTTAGGGGAATCTGTGTGAGTGTGTGTACGGGACCTCTGCATTATTTCTGCAACTCTTCTGTGTGTCTAAAATTGGGTCAAAATTAAAAGGTTTTTTAGAAAGAAATAAAAATGTTTTCTTATTAAAACAATCCTGATATATTCTCCCATTCTGGACAGGAGAGACTGTTAATAAGTGTTTCCTTGTCAAATTGTTAATTTCTCTACTAATAAATAAATAGCTTTTAGATTGTTTCAGGTCTCAGAGTACTGCAAGTCATCATATTAATAAAATAGAGAACCATACCACTTAATCGCCTTCTCATCTGGAATCCTACAGAACCCTCCCATCTGATGCCACCTCTACCTTTCTCTCTCTAGGGTCTTGCGCCAGTGCTCACCTGATGCTGTAATGAAATGGTTCCTTGCTATCTTGCAGGGTGTGTGGAGTATTAGAGAGGGTTTGGCACATTTCCTGGAAGTTTTGTGAAGTAGAGAACCCAGAATAGGGAGTCAGGAAACCAGAATTCTTGTCTCAGTTCTTCCATTCTTGGGCCCTGGGGCTTTTAGGTAAATCACTAACCAATGCCTTACCTGTAAAATCAGGCCCTTTGGGGCAAGGTCTAGATCTGAGTCTCACTCTTAGTGAGGTATTGGAATTGTCCGAGAAGTGTTCTTTTTTAAAATGCTGGTACCTGGGTCTCATCCCCAGAGATCCTGACTTCACTCCTTTGGGGTACAGCTCAATCAAGTACCCAGATTTTTTAAAGTTTCCCAGAGTGGTGTTAACAGGTAGCCAGGACTGAGAACCACTGACCCAGATGATCTCTAAATCCTAATCTTCTAGGGTTTATCAGTAATCATTGTTCAAACAAGATGAGTCAACAGAACCAGGTCTTGGAAAGTATTATCTTGTTATCTCAGATAAAGGCATTCTGGCTGTGGGCAGATAAGACGAAAGTAAGCAGAGGTTTGCATTGTTCGTTCCAGACTCTGTTGTTGGTGCCTATCAGGTGTATTATTATCTTGACTAATGACTTATACAAAGAGCTGCCATATTTAGCTTGCGGAATATGCCCTAAAGAAGATTTTTTAAAAACTATATACAGATACCTTAGAACAGAAGTGTGATTGTGCTGCCCTTACCACCCCAGCTCCCCTGTCCTCTTTGTGTCCCCCTTTGCTTTTTCCTCCAGCTCCACATTCACCATCTACACCTACATCGAGGTCTATATTTACAGTATAGTGAAAACAGCTGACATTGGTGATATGTCTGTTCGGGTGGGCTGAGAGAGGAGGAGGGAGAAAAGCACACTGTTTAAAAGACAGCAAGAACTGAAAGCAGGCATAGCAAATCCACATGCCTCTGAGAAGGCAGACCTGGAAGGCAGACAACAGGGATCTGGGGCCTCCTGGGGACTGGAGAGCTCATGACCCTCCTAGAGGACCTCTTTCCCTGTGATCGAGCCAATCGTGGCCAAGGAGTGTGTTGGCGCAGCAGAGCCAGAACTTTTAATCTTCAAGAAAATCAAGAAATTCATAATTGATTTATAAATACTGGAAACCAATTTTTCAAATAAATATAAACACTGTGAAGTCCAAACAAAACACTTCTGCGAGCCAAGTCCTGCCAATTTGTAATCTCTTCTTTAAAGATTAAAAATGTGATAGAATTATAGGCAAAATGTATGGGTGAAAGGAATTTTGTTTTATTTTGTTTGTTTTGTTTCAGGTGGGTGATAAGTTGTTCTAAGACATGTGAGACCCTCCCAATACAGGCTTCTTGGCAGTACACGGCACAGTGTCCAAGCCCAGGAGGGGGTCGGACAATTCTCAATGACAAGGGCAGCCCATTTGCCAAGTAGGAGTTTGAGAGCCAAAGGGCCTGGAGGGCAGGGGACAGACAACCTGGAGTTGGATGATTCTGGGATGTTGTCAGTCCTTGTAGAACAGGGTGCCTTCCAATGGATGGTGATATGGTGGAAAATTCTAGCAATTCAGGTAAGGGAGGAAGGAAGCGAGGGAAGTTTGTCCTGGTCCCAGCCAAATGAGCTACAGCTCAAGGAAGAGCTCAAACCCCAGAAAGGGAGTGTTGAGCTCTTTTACCTGCCCATAATCCTGCCAACTGGGCCAATTGTCGTGCTAGGGCTGAGTCTGGAGCTCACAGACCCCTCAGGCCCTTTCACAGACTGGGTCACAAACCCTTCACATGCCAGGCTGGGTCCCCAGACCCCTCACACACCAGGCTGGGTCACCAGACCTCTCACACACAGGTCTATGAGCTAGGTAAATGGCCAAAAAGTCTTTGGAGCTGTAGGTTGGAGAGCATGGCCATGCAGGGTGGACACCCAAGACAGTCAACACCAGCCGAGTAATGGCACCTCCCATGCACACTAACTCCACCCACACACAATTTGCTTACAAAAAATGCACCACAGGCTGGGTCACCAGACCTCTCACACACAGGTCTATGAGCTAGGTAAATGGCCAAAAAGTCCTTGGAGCTGTAGGTTGGAGAGCATGGCTATGCAGGCTGGACACCCAAGACAGTCAACACCAGCTGAATAATGGCACCTCCCATGCACACTAACTCCACCCACACACAATTTGCTTATAAAGAATGCACTGCACCCCTCCCCCAACCAGACCTAAGGCAAGGGGGCCTGATTAAATTATTCTATTTTCCCAACAGGGAGATTAGGTAGGGTATCCCATGGACTAGGGCAATCTGGTAGCACTGACACAAGAAGCAGCAGAATTCAAACTTTACATGTGGTCAGGGGGCAACAAAGGTAATTGGACTGCTCCGGCCACCAGAAACCCAACCTGTCAGGAAAGATTCTTAATTCCAAAGTCTATGGGGGATACGGGGGTGTAGATCTTGGTTTACAGGTGCAGCTCATTCCTACGTACAGCTGTGGGGAACTGGGAACAGGGAACGAACAGGGCAAAACATGAGCAAGTCCCAGTGCCCCTGAAATCCCTGTGATGGACAGGTGCCCACTCTGCTTGTGTTTGAAACACCGAGAAAAAAATCAGAAGCTGCATATCATCCACCATGCCAGCTCTATCCTAGGTAACTGTGAACTCTTGACTTTAAAAATTCACATGTAGATCTGGACCCAGAATAACACAGAGATACACTCTAGATGGACATACTGGTGTCATGGGAATTGATCCAGCCTTGTGAGAGGCAGTCATCAACAAATTCCCATCCACCAAGAAATGCCAACTTCCCTGTCTTTCTTGCTTTGGTTGACACTGCAGTATGCCACAGTAGTAAGAGCGTAATGGAAAGAACATACCTATGAATAAGTTCTGGTTTTACTGCTTATTTACCAGGTCATTTGCGGGCCTCAGTTTCCACAACATCTGCCCTACTTACCAATTTCACAGGGTTGGTGAGAGAATCAATGTGATAACTTGGTTTAAGAATGTCATATGCCAGCAATTGTCAATGCAGAAGGGCAAACTCTCCTGGAAAGGATATATCCAAATTTCTGGGAAGTTAGAAAAAGAATGGAAACCACATTTTTAATTGGAAAGCAAAGCCGAACAAAACCTTCAATGTTGATTCTCACCTGGTAGCAGCTCCTCATGTGCAAATAGAGCTTGAAAGATATTTAGGTTTTTTCCAGAAGGGATAGAGCTTTGAAAAGTTGCACAATACCAGCCTATGTAAGTATAAGATCTTAGTTCTTTGATTTCAATTGCACTTAGCAGTCTTATTTGCTTTTTGTTAAAAAAAAAAAAAAGATGCATATTATAAACAGGAGGCAAAAACTTCTGATGCTGCTTTAAACCTGGTATTTTTGTTTGTTTGATTACCTTGTTGTTCTAAAGTGACTTTCACATTTAAAACCTTGAACCTGACTCTCCTTTAGTGTCTCAATCTTCTGAGAGACTCCAAAGGAAACCTAACAAAAATATGGCATTTGAGCAAGTAATCCAGAGGAATGGCAATCACACAAGAGGTTTATTTTATTTTATTTTATTTTATTTTATTTTATTTTATTTTTTGAGAGAGAATTTTACAGATTTCGTCCTCAATGGTAGAAACAGTTGCCTTGGCTTGACTGCAGCTGTGATAAACAGAGCACTCCTTGCTGTTTTCCATGTCGATGTTTATGCATGGCTAGGAAAGTGCTGAAGCATTCATCGTTAACTCCCACACCTACAGCTTTCATAAAATCGAGAAGAAAACAATCAGTGCAAAAAGTTCAAATTCTGAGCCATGCTTCACAAATCTCAACTCAGGCTCCGCATCATTATAGTGAGAATGTAAACTTCATTTCTCTTTAGAACACTTTTACCTGCCTCTGTCTTTCTCTAAGAATTAATTTCTCCTCGTATTTAAAGAAAAGTTTAGTATGATAGAAAGTATTTGTTTTTCGGGTTTTTTTAGCGAAAAAAAGTTTGGATTGTCTCCATTGTTTATGATTTCCATGGCTGGGGGTGAGGTATCTTTTTTTTTTCTACTGTAAAACTGAGATAACTTCATAGTGTTTTTCTGAGGAATAAGAAGTCAGTATATGTAAAGCACATGCAATATCATAGTAAATGTCCCATAAACAAATGTTAATTTCTCTCTCTTTTTTTTTTTTGGTCTCCTAACTCATCTACTCAAGCTTCTATCTCATTTGGATTCTCAATTCTGTGTTTCAAATTTTAGATCAAGGATGGGTTAGAGGTAGGAGAAATCTACTATCACATTCATTTAATAGAGTAGGAAAGACACTGGGGCCACAAAGCTGAAATGATTTCATCAAGATCACATGGAGAGTCTAAGAGCCAGAACTACCCATTTTTCCTGACTTCTAGTCCAGTGCTCTTGCCATTAAACAATGTTTAACTGTTTCTTCAATTAATTGGCAGAACTCGTTTCAAGGCTTCTTTGCCTAAAATTATCTGTAAGACAGTTACATAAATCTCTAATTTGAATTTTTTTTTTATACCAACTCAGGATCCTTCAAGTTCCTGGAGCTTCAGTGTATTGCTATCTTTAGGTTACATACCAATGAAAAGACACTTGTCAGAGGTTATTTACAATAGGTACTTTTGCTGCTTTGTAATAAATTGTTGTTAGATCATACACAGCATGAGCCAATGCTTGGAATCCCTCACCTATCGGAACCACACACTGGTTCTTCTAGGACTCCTACCCATAGCCCCTGCAGAACAAGGCTGCTATAGCAGATTCCTTACACATGCTTTGGCTGTGGTTCCCTACTACGTTCTGGCCTCAGCTGACTGGGCCAGAAAGTGGGCACCCGACCAAAGGAGAACAATCCATTGGCCAGTCAGCATCCTATGAGGAGGCCTGAAATGAAAGCTTTGACCAGTAAGGACAAAGACTATTAGAACAATTAGATTTGGGGGGTGGGAGGGAGTCAATTAGTTGCTAACAAGTGCTGTGATTCACACTCCATATTAAAGTTTGTGTAATTTACACTATTTCTTAGACAACTCTATGGTAAAACTGAAAAAATTGAGTCATTAAGTCATTAGCCATGATGGTGGTGACATAGTGACCATAAAAAAACATGTAGCCATAATTGAAATACACTACCTTTAGGCTTTGAGCTAGATATCTCAACAAAATAGAAAAAGAATAACATCAAGGTATCTAAAAATATGAACCAGTAGATACCTTTTGATCTTAAAATTTCTAATTTAGAAAAGTGTCATTTGTGTGGTCTTCTGTATTATTAAGTGTTTCAAATTTTAATCAAAGATGTCTACTTTCCAGGCAAAGCACACACCATGAAAAATACCTCTAAAAGTCTTTAATAGTGCCAGTAACATTATCAAGGTAATTAAAGGACCTGTGACAATATTTTGTAATTATATTCTTGAGTATCTTAGTGGTGCAACTTGAGGAAACCAAAGTAGGCAGAGAACGAAGCTGAGAAGGATGAACAGCACAGGACCCCAGCTCAGCTGTGGTTCAACACCTGCCCATGAGAAGTCTTTGTGTTCATCAGGGCATGAGAGTTGGAAATGCATATCATGGGTCAAGTTTTCCTTGTACTTTCATGAAAAATGCCACTTAAAATTTGGCAGATGTTTAAAAATGATGATTCTGTCAAACTACAATACCAGACGAAGTCATTTATAAATCAATTGGTAATTAAAACTAGAAGGATTTTGGAAAGATGTCCGTACCAGAGCTCCAAGTTTTCTCCACATTTGGTTGACGTAGACCTTGGTTTCTCGCAGAGCCTGTTGGCCATTTTGACTGAAGTGGCACCTCCCCAAAGGCAAATATTGGTTGTTTCATCTGGAGAGGATGTGCCTGCATATACAGATATTACTTTGAAAATATCTTGATGGATTTCAAGAAAATATTTTCAAATGAACTGGTGGAGAATTTAACTGTTTTTATATTAACATCTTATCCCTTGTTTTTTTTTTCCCCCTCTTATTTTTCCATGTGGTTTTATGAAAAAATGATCTGAATGTAAAACATGAAGAGACGACAACAAAACCATTTGGTGTTTTTTGGATCAAGCACCTGGTTGATTTAAATCAGTTATATCACTTCTCTCCCCCTCCACTGCCAAGCGGGAGTCCGGGCCACCAGCTCCCTCACCTGGGTCATGGCGACAGCTCCCAGCTGGCCTTTGAGCTTCTCATCCCACCTCTCCAATCCATTCTCAACAAAGAAGCACCAATGAAGGGATATCAGTTGCACCATGTCACTCCCCTACATTCATTTAACAGGTCCTAATCACAACTTTTCAACAGCCTTCTACCACACTAAGAATAAAACCCCAACTTCCCATTTTGGCTGAGACCCCCGCTTCTCTCAAATCTTGCCTTCTCTTCTCCTGGGTCACAACCCTCCAGCCCCAGTGGGCCTCTTGGGCTTCTTCATTCAGGCCCTAGAGCACACAAGTTCTTTCCCACCTCAAGGCTACTCACAGGCCGTTTGCTCTCCCTGCAGTGGTCTCTCTCTTCCCTCCTCTCTTTTTTCCCGGAAAACTCTTTCTCATTCTTTTTAAGATAAATGTCACCTCTTCAAACAGGCCCTGACCACCCAGCTAAAGGATCTAATCTGCCCCTTGCTGATTACCTTCATAGCACTTACAATGATTTGAAATTGTTCTATTGGTTTACTGTGTTATATCCATGGGGGCTGACACATGTCTGTCTTGTTGACTCTTGTCTTCCCAGCATCCAGCAGAGGGACTTGCCCACAGTAGGCATCCAGTAGGGACTTGTTGAAAGAATAAATAAGTGATTAAAGAAATATTTTACCTTCTCAAATCTTTGTCATCAGCCTGATCTGAGGTTTGGATATACAATAAATTTTCTCAAGACAGTCTAGGTACCTGTGGGACTGTGACCATAACTGACTCCATCTTAAGCCTTTACTGCTTGTTATGTCTTTGTGAGACCTTTGCCCATAAAGTTATGCAGTAATTAGGGGAAAGGTAGTTTGAACAATAGACAGGCACAACCTGCTGACTGTTAAAAAGGAATGATTAAGTACCAGTATGGCAATAAGCCGGCCCGGCCATCTGTATCAACATTTGGAGCTAGTTACATTAAGCTTGTTTACCAACTGTCTATATAAACTTGAACTCAGCCTTGAGATAGCACGGAGGGAACACCGGCATATGCCAGACCCACTATTCTTTAAGTAAGTTTCTTTGTAATAAAGTTCTTTGCTTTTCGTTGCTTGGCCTCAAGACCTTTCCAGTTAGGTGGACAATCTGCTCCTGGTCCACCTTTAGGCAGTACCTTTATATTTCTTATACTCAGAAAATGGCCAAGGTATACTTTTGGAGGTGAGCGGTTAGATCTCTTTCCGATGGGAGGATCTGGAGGTACCAACCATTGGAGATAGCCCACCATTTCCCATATTGTGTCATGCCAGCACTCAGCAATTTGTTGGCTCAGTCTCAGTGTAGTCCTGAGGTGATGGGAGAAGAGACTACAGGAAAGTCCAGATTGAGTGTGGCTTCAAGAAGGTTCCTTAGACTAACTACATTTCAACAACTAAAATCCAAATAGTTGGGCCAACGGCAGGTGGGTACCCCCAGGCTGTTATGAAGACGTCGTAACAAGTTTGAGAGTTGCTTGGAGGAACTTGGAACGTGATGTTGTGTCACCCTGGGAGAACACTTTCAGATGCTGAGAGCTTTCCTTATTCCAAGGGCATGTTTGTGAACTGTACCACCGTTACCACTCACTGCTCTCTCTCTCCTGTTTGGGGATGTGGGACTCTGAGTGGTATCGGATGAGCACTTGCTTTCTAGTGGATTTAGACTGAGATCTTCTGTGGAAAATTCATTTTCTTTTTTATTTTTTTATTTTGTCAATATACAATGTAGTTAGTTATTGTGTCCCATCACCAAAACCTCCCTCCCTCCTCCCTCTCCCCCCTCCCACCCAGATGTGTCCCCTCCATTTTCTCGTTGTAAGAGCTTCAAAAANCCTAACTGGGGTGAGATGGTATCTCAGTGTGGTTTTGATTTGCATTTCCCGGATGCTGGTTTTCGTAAATTCATTTTCTGAAGGGACATGCATGTTATTCTATTGTTTTTTCCCAGATTTGAGGGGGTGATTCTATCGACTGACCCTTACACTTTAGGAGAAAGTCGCCTAAGTTGAAGAGTTACTTTTGTAATGCTAATCAACAGTCAAAAGCATCAGGAACTGTATGGGACAGGGGAGTCTCAGGTAGCCCAGGAGATGCTAAGAGTTTCTACTCCCTCTCTTTGGCCTGCTGAAGAGTCTTCCTTATATATGTACCTCCAGGGAGGTGGATAGAATTTATCAGATAAGCTCCTATGGGGAAGATGGTTTGGTAAAACTGGGGACCCAGAAAACCTGAGTAGGGCCAAAAGCCGGGAACTGGTGCCCCGAATCACAATCCAGATGTCCAATAGGAAACAGAGCTTGAGAGAGATCTACACAAAAGTCCTTTAGTGTTTTTGCGGTTTAGGGGATCATGTACTTTATCAAGCTCTTCTTCACCTTCACCCCCGCCACTACCTTTGTTCATACAACCTTTCATTCATTGACTTTGAATTAAAAAATAAACTTTAAAAAATATAACACAATAGAGATTCAGGGGCTAAGTGACCATGCAGCACTTGCCCTGTAGAATGAAACAATTGAAATCTAATCAGTCTTGATAACATTTTGTGCTATGATGCTAGACTTCCCTCTGCACTGACCCCTCTCCTTCCGGCATCCTGTTCTGGGACAGAAAGCACACCACAAAGGTTTCCTGTGCCTGTCCTCTCCACTTCTGACCCCTTACTACATCCTCTCTCCATCTATTTGGAGAGAAATGATTTGGTGTCTCTGGAATTCTTCCCAGTTCATATATTTGATGACACTTGTTGCTAATTTGGGATGCCAAAAATACTGGCTAAAGCCAGGGCTGAGCTCATGCCAACCTCAGCCTCCTGCTCCACTGCTACTGATGAAAAGGGAAATGCAGTATGCCCGGCTATCACTGGTCATAATTTGTTGTGGGGTCCCTTCTCACTGAAATCTACCCCACTATTCTGGATATCTGAAACACCTTAACTCCTTAAACTCTTTCAGATACCTTCTCAATGCTCACTCATTTTGAAAAGACTTTCTTGAGGGGTCAGAAATCAGTGTCCTTTGAGGACAAGGACACCAAATCCAGGACTGAGGAGCTACCATCTTGCTGTTTACTCCAGTGCCTTCAAAGCCTTCCTTTTCCTCCTCAAAGATCTTGTGCCCGTGGAATGAAGATTTCAGCCCATTGCCTACAGCCAACAACCATGCTTAATTCTGCAGTCTGCAGAGCACTCAGCACATGGTGGCCAGTCCAAATATACGAAAAAGGGGTCACAACCACACTACCAGAGAATAATAATCAGAAGAAGAGGGGTCCTGCCGCCTTCATGGTACACTCCTTCCCACAATGTAGCAGCCCAGGGAGGTGGGAGGACAGGCCAGGTGCAGAAATGAGGCCTCAGGCTGTGGCATGGAGGTGCAGCATGCTGTCTCAGTCAGAAGGCCCTGGTCCCAAACCCTGTGCTGCCTGCCTGCTGGCCAGCCTCAGGACCCCTCAGCTGCCCCGCTGTGGCACCAGACACACAGATGAAATTTCCTTCCAAATTACCCTGGTCCCAAACCCTGTGCTGCCTGCCTGCTGGCCAGCCTCAGGACCCCTCAGCTGCCCCACTGTGGCACCAGACACACAGATGAAATTTCCTTCCAAATTGCAGACATGTTGGGCACATTCATGTCTTCTTCCTTCTTAAAATGAACTCTCTCTCTCTCTCTCTCTCTCTCTCTCTCTCTCTCTCTCTCTCTCTCTCCTTCTCTCCTTTTCTAAGGGACCTTACTCCTTTTCTCTGAGCCTGCACCTGACCAAGATCATTTACCTCTCAGAAACCAAGAATTCACCATTGTCCATGTTCAAGTCTGCATGTCCAGTCTGGAAATACTACGAGTGCTTAGCAAAGTGCCTGGCACAGAGATCGCATTCAAAAGAGCTTTACTGAAGAGAAGGACGAAGAAGCAAGGGACAGGGGTGGGCAGAGGGAGAAAAAAAGGAACAGAAGTGAAGAGGAAATATTTTCAGACATTCTAAAACCCAGACACATTCACGTGTTAAACCCTCTATGAGTCATTCCAAGCCTTTCAAAGTGATCTAAATCTAACAGAAATCAGTAATTTTTATTACCAACTTCCTTGTTGTGTGCCTTTGTGACAAGCAAAGACATGGAGGGGCTGGGAAGACTAGAATAACCACCACCACAGCAGTACCTAACAGGTACTGAGAACTTTTTATAAGTCACTTTGTAAACCTTCCACATGCATAGACTCATTGAATTTTCAGAACACCGTGGATGCGGTAAGTAGTACTGGTTTCCCTACTTTATAGATGAGCAGACAGAATTTAGAGAGATTAAGAAACGGGTGGGAAGTTGGGAGGGGGTTGGTGTTAAATTAGGTCCCAAATCTGCTTAGGGATATTTTTATGTCGTTTCTGAAGGTTCTATGACCCTTCTCCCTGGTTCCAAGTCCTCTCTGGCTTTGAGGCAACAGAATGTAAAGAAGGCAGGCTCCGTGTCCTTTTTGCTGCTGACCTATTTTAACACTTCATGCTTTGGTGCTGAATTCTCTTCGTCCCTCTACTTTGGCCAGGATTTCCTGGTGCCTGCAATACCCGGCTCCCTAATCCTGGAAGCCTCCTGAAACAACAACCATATTTCTTCTCTGTATTGCCTCCTCATCTTCCAGTGGGGGGGTGACACCAGTTCAGTCTCTCTCAGCTGGATGCCACCAAGGCTTTTCTGAGTCGCTGCTATGGAGACAAAGCATAGGTACCGTTTCCATTTGCCACCGATTGCTATTAAAAGACAGGCACGGAATGTGAGCCCAAGATGTTCAGTGAATCAACCTGGAACTTACCCCTTTTTAAAAATTCTAATGGAGGGTAATTCATGCAAGTTTGTTGGCAAGCCATCTGCCTCAGGGACCTAGCACAGGTTAGGTAATTAAACTCAACCTGTTCTTGCATGGCTGTCTGACTTACCATTTACCTCCTCTTAGATTCCTCACCTGCAAAAACCCACTCTCCAAACTGGTTAACTCATTGTTCCCCCAAACACCTGTCTCGCCTTCTTATTTTACTCCTGCCATTCCGTCCACCTGGAACGCCCTTACTTTCCCTCTCCAAGTCCTTCTCACTGCTTCACGGTATGTTCCCCAGACACCTCACTCACAATGATCCATCTCTCTCCTGAATTCCAATAATAATGAATCCTATATAAAATTCAGCTGGTAATTAATCATGTGCTGCCTTATGATTTTCCTTCTATTGTTACCTTGAACTGTTATTTCAATCTTTAATTTTAATATAACCATTCCCATATGCTTGTCTTGTTACCTTAATTGGAATATAAGATCTTCAAAGGCAGGAGATATATGATATAATTGTATCCCCTTTGGTATCTGTTATGGGGCTGATTTGTTGATTTCTCTCTCTCTCTCTCTCTCTCTATCTCTCTCTCTCTGTCTTTTTCCCAATTGAACAACCCAAATCATAAAGCTTCATCCAATTACTTTGGTGATAATAGATCATATTTACTGAGTGATCATGTGTGGGTGATTGGAGAATGTGAGTTTCCTTTTAACCCAGAGAATTGAGGAATGAGCGTGAAAGGGGAGCTGTGC